TGATCGCTCAAGCAGGCGGCTGATATCATCATCGTCGTCATCATCATCATCATCACGTGGAAATGTTTCAGCAGCCAAATGACTCTCTGAACGCGTGACGCTGATGCTCAATGTGGGGGGGGGGAAGTTGGGAAACCCGGAGGATCCACGGAGCACAAATCTACGCGACCACCACGGGGAGAGAGACACGCAAACTCCAACATATACAGCAGCAGGCGTCAGGGTCGGGATCGAACCCACGACCTCCTGTAGACCAGGCGAGGTAGTAAACATCTCTACAGGGAGAGAGAGACACGCACACTCCAACATATACAGCAGCAGCAGGCGTCAGGGTCGGGATCGAACCCACGACCTCCTGTAGACCAGGCGAGGTAGTAAACATCTCTACAGGGAGAGAGAGACATGCACACTCCAACATATACAGCAGCAGCAGGTGTCAGGGTCGGGATCGAACCCACGACCTCCTGTAGACCAGGCGAGGTAGTAAACATCTCTACAGGGAGAGAGATTGACGCAAACTCCAACATATACAGCAGCAGGCGTCAGCGTCGGGATCGAACCCACGACCTCCTGTATACCAGGCGAGGTAGTAAACATCTCTACAGGGAGAGAGAGACACGCACACTCGCAATATACAGCAGCAGCAGGCGTCAGGGTCGGGATCGAACCCACGACCTCCTGTAGACCAGGCGAGGTAGTAAACATCTCTACAGGGAGAGAGAGACACGCACACTCCAACATATACAGCAGCAGCAGGCGTCAGGGTCGGGATCGAACCCACGACCTCCTGTAGACCAGGCGAGGTAGTAAACATCTCTACAGGGAGAGAGAGACACGCACACTCCAACATATACAGCAGCAGCAGGCGTCAGGGTCTGGATCGAACCCACGACCTCCTGCAGACCAGGCGAGGTAGTAAACATCTCACCACCGTGTTACCCCTCTGTCCACCACCACCACCACGAGTGGGGGTGGGCGGTGGTGTAAAGTTTGGGCGTCGTCCGTCAAAGCCCCAGCAGCAGCAGCAGCAGGCGTCCGCGCAGCGCTTCGGAGGCGCCGCGGCTCTTGAAGGACGGCAGAAGTCGGCCCTTGAAATTGGAATGAAATGACGTGGCTCCCTGTTACCACGGGAGTCCAGTTTACCACGGGCGTGCAGTTTACCACGGGAGTTCAGTTTACCATGGGAGTCCAGTTTACCATGGGAGTCCAGTTTACCACGGCAGTCCAGTTTACCACGGCAGTCCAGTTTACCACGGGCGTGCAGTTTACCACGGGAGTGCAGTTTATCACGGGAGCTCAGTTTACCATGGGAGTCCAGTTTACCACGGCAGTCCAGTTTACCACAGGAGTCCAGTTTACCATGGGAGTCCAGTTTACCACGGCAGTCCAGTTTACCACGGGAGTCCAGTTTACCACGGGAGTGCAGTTTACCACGGCAGTCCAGTTTACCATGGGAGTCCAGTTTACCACGGCAGTCCAGTTTACCACGGGAGTGCAGTTTACCACGGGAGTGCAGTTTACCACGGCAGTCCAGTTTACCACGGGAATGCAGTTTACCATGGGAGTCCAGTTTACCACGGCAGTCCAGTTTACCACGGGAGTCCAGTTTACCACGGGAGTGCAGTTTACCACGGGAGTTCAATATTGATTTGAAGCTTTCGTGACTGCACGAATCCATACTCTTTGGTTCTTTCGGTAAAGTCACGTAGATAGAAAATAAAAGAAAACACGACGTTTCGGTCGCAACACAGGCGGCCGTCTTCAGGTGAGAAAAATTATCCGCTGTTGTGGCTTCATATAGGCACGGGAGGGGCGGGGGGGGGGGGGGAGTTTGGCTGTAGGAGTTAGAACCAGAGATTATGGACTGGTAGATGTTCGTTGGTGGCGAGTTCAAATGCAAGGTTTGGGAAAGTTGACTCATCATCATCATCATCGCTCGCTCGGGGAGTGGATAAAATATGAAACCAATTTGTGAGTGGGGGAAGCTCAGCAGTGGTTGTCCTTTGATGCGACTCGCACCCCCTACCCTGCCACAGGAATGTGGAATTTCCACCACTGTCTCTGCAGCGCTGTGCACGGGAAAGAAGCGCCACACGAGTGGCAGGAGCTCAGTCTGCCGTAGGAATATTTGTGTATGCCGGATGAATCCGATGAGCTATGAAGCTCTTCTTTTCCACAGCTGTCCAGTAGGGGCGGTCAGAATGTCTTTAAAGGGCCAGAAATCGTACAGCTCATAGGTCACATGACCCATGACCTCACCCCACACGACACCACGACCTCACCCCACACGACCTTACCCCACACGACCTCACCCCACATGACCTCACCCCACACGACACCACCCCACACAACACCACCCCACACGACTCACGACCTCACCCCACACGACCTCACTCCACATGACCTCACCCCACACGACACCATGACCTCACCCCACACGACCCACGACCTCACCCCACACCTCACTCCACATGACCTCACCCCACACGACCTCACTCCACATGACCTCACCCCACACGACCCACGAACTCACCCCACACGACCCACGACCTCCCCCCACACGACCTCACCCCACAAGACCCACGACCTCACCCCACACCCAGTATACCTCTCCGTGACTTCTTCACGTCTTGGCCCGGCCTGAAACGTCGGCAACAGAGAGACAACCCCACAGCATCTCGCTCGGTCCAGGACAAGCCCACGTTTATCTGATTGTCCAACTTTCCGACACGCCCGCGGGTACATTCACGAACGCGTGTACGGCACGTGCGCTCATATCTTAAATACCATCACCGAACGCCGTGAAGTTTCAGTACAATTATTTACAGCCAATTACGTCAATCCACCGCTGGACGAATGCCTCTTTGGGGGGTGGGGGGGGGGGTAGCCACGGTGGGTAGGAGATGTTAACTACCTCGCCTGGTATACAGGTGGTCGTGGGTTCGATCCCGACCCTCACGCCTGCTGCTGCTGCTGTATATTTGGGGTTTTGCGGTGTCTCTCTCGCCGTGGCCGCGAGGATTTTTCTCCGGGTCCTCCGGTTTTCCCCTCCACATTGACAATCGACGTTACGCGTTTCGAGTAATCTGGCTACTTAGAAATGTCCACGTGATGAAGGTGATCACAAGCCACTCAGTTTAACTATCATTTGCGATAGCCCAGGGTCGCTTTTGAGAAAGAGCTACAACAACACAGCAGCTCAATGGCGCCCTTCACCTGGTAGAATAAAAAATAGTTTACTTCCAGTTTGACCATACTTCACCGCGCTGGTGCATTGCCGGTTGGTTAAGGACACGGAGGAGACGCTCGCGGAGGCCCGAGGCCAGCCGCATGGCTGGCGTTCGCCGTCGAATGGGAAATTCAACTGGGGCTGGCCGTGCCTTCGCGGCGGTAACCGCTGCACCACCGCTCCCGCCCCCCCCTCCCCCACCATCACGACACCCCCCCCCCCCCCGCGACGGAGCGCGGCCATCCTAGCGGAGGTCGCGGACGCGCTCGAAAAACCACTGCAGCGGAGGGAGTTGCCGGCGGACGCTTTCTCTTTAAAAACAAAAATTACGGCGGAGGACTCGACGGTAGAAATATGTACACGCGTGCGCGGGCCAAGTGCGCATCGCGTCGTTGACGAAGAAAGCAACGCTTCTATACACATCATTACATTAATAAGCCGCAGTAGCTCCGCTTCAAGGTTGCCGGTGACAGTTCTTAGCACCAATAGCGGACGCCGGGGTTGTTTGTCGTCACTGTACAAGGGCAATCTTGCTGGGCAAGAGGTCACATAAGGGGGGGGGGGCGTGTGGGGAGTAGAGGGGGGGGGGCTGTGTGGGGGATAAAGGGGGGGGGGCTGTGTGGGGGTTAGAGAGGGGGCTGCCCACCACCCACCCTTCTCGCCTCCGTTCACTTTAAACAGAATTAGAATATTGTATTTATACTGGAAGAAAGCCGATGAGCTATAAAGCTCTCTTCTTTAACAGGTGTCCAACGAGGATGGTTAGCTGTGGACAGCACCGCGCCCGGCCGCCTTTGCATCCCCCATTTCGAACGTGTGGGCACCGCGGTGGCTGGGAGATGTTAACTACCTCGCCTGGTATACAGGAGGTCGTGGGTTCGATCCCGACCCTGACGCCTGCTCTATATTTGGAGTTTGCTGGGGGTTCGTGGTGCAGTGCGCTAACCGTTCTGCCCCCGCTCCTGGTGTTCCCTTGTTGGGGCAACTACTTCTAAACATGCACACACACACATGCAGGTCAAATCGTCTTGTGTGCAAGCAGCCAGATTAACTGGAACTACTCACCAGATCTCACTACGGGATCTACTCAACAGATCTCACTACCAGATCTACTCACCAGATCTCACTACCAGATCTACTCAACAGATCTCACTACCGGATCTTCTCAACAGATCTCACTACCAGATCTACTCACCACATATCACTCCTGGATCTTCTCACCAGATCTCACTACCGGATCTACTCACCAGATCTCACTACCGGATCTACTCACCAGATCTCACTACGGGATCTACTCACCAGATCTCACTACCGGATCTACCCACCAGATCTCACTACCGGATTTACTCACCAGATCTCACTACCGGATTTACTCACCAGATCTCACTACCGGATCTTCTCACCAGATCTCACTACCGGATTTACTCACCAGATCTCACTACCGGATTTACTCACCAGATCTCACTACCGGATCTTCTCACCAGATCTCACTACCGGATCTTCTCACCAGATCTCACTACCGGATCTTCTCACCAGATCTCACTACCGGATCTACCCACCAGATCTCACTACCGGATCTTCTCACCAGATCTCACTCCTGGATCTACTCACCAGATCTCACTCCTGGATCTTCTCCCTGTACCGTAGATTTGTTGAACTTCCTTCGCACCGTACGTAGCCAACCATGCGAATCGGAGCTGCGGGAAACCCCCACCCCCCCTGCCCCCCGCCACGGGAGACCCCCCCCCCCCCAGATTGACCCCACACCCCCACCCCTCCCGCAAGGGCACGGTGCGTCTCACCGCCCCGGCGACGGCACCGCGGCGCGTCTCGGCGTGCGCTTGGCCTTGCCGCGGCCTCTCCGCCCGTCGTGCGGAGGCCCCCTCCGCCGCGTCGCGCCTCCGCCGCCCGCGCCGGGGAGCGACATCGGCACGGGGGGGGAGGAGGCCGGGGACCCGGCGGCGCCGGCGGCCTGCTGCCCGCGCCGCGCCCGCTCCGCGCACCACGCCCTCTCGCAGTACTCGGCGGCCCCGGCGTGGCCCGGCGGCTGCGCGGGCCCCTCGTGCCAGGCGCGGTGCCCGTGACCCCGGCCCGCCGGCCCGGCCGAGGCGCAGACGACGTCGTCCTCGGCGTCGTCGGCGTCGTGGCGCCCGCGGTGGTGGTGGTGGTGGTGGGGTTGGCGGCGGTGGTGGTGGGGTTGGCGGTGGTGGTGGTGGGGTTGGCGGGGCGCGACGAGGGCGCGCACGCGCTCGTCCGCGATGACGTGCAGGCGCAGGCGCCGCAGGCCCTGCGTGAAGCCGCGCTCCGCCGAGCGGCAGCGGTAGACGCCGGCGTCGAGGCGGTGCAGCGCACGGAAGAGCAGACCGTGGGGGGTGCGCGCCACGCGCTCGTCCGTCTTCACCTGCGGGGCGGGGGGGGGGGGGCAGGGGGGGGGATCAGGGGGGGAGCAGGAGCGGGAAGGCGAAGCGGTGAGGTCAAGTTTACTGATTGTCAGATTGAATTGCTTGGCAGCTCGTAGAGTAATTGATTGGTGTACGGAATCGTTGGCATATTTAATAATTCAGTGATTGGCTCGTAGAGTAATTGATTGGTGTATGGAATCGTTGGCATATTTAATAATTCAGTGATTGACTCGTAGAGTAATTGATTGGTGTATGGAATCGTTGGCACATTTAATAATTCAGTGATTGGCTCGTAGAGTAATTGATTGATGGATGGCATGACTGACCAATGTCATGATTTATTGATTGGCCCGTAGAGTAATTGATCGATTCAATTGAAAGACTAATTTACGGCGTGAAAGCGCGGTGCGTCATGGCGGTGTGTTGGTGCGTCACGGCGTCGCGGTGTCACGGTGCGTGGTGGCGTGGTGCGTGGTGTTGTGGTGGCGTGGTGGCGTGGTGCGTGGTGGCGTGGTGCGTGGTGGCGTGGTGCGTGGTGGCGTGGTGCGTGGTGCGTGGTGCGTGGTGTCGTGGTGCGTGGTGCGTGGTGCGTGGTGCGTGGTGTCGTGGTGCGTGGTGTCGTGGTGTCGTGGTGCGTGGTGCGTGGTGCGTGGTGTCGTGGTGCGTGGTGTCGTGGTGTCGTGGTGCGTGGTGCGTGGTGCGTGGTGCGTGGTGTCGTGGTGCGTGGTGTCGTGGTGTCGTGGTGCGTGGTGGCGTGGTGCGTGGTGGCGTGGTGCGCGGTGCGTGGTGTCGTGGTGTCGTGGTGCGTGGTGGCGTGGTGCGTGGTGGCGTGGTGCGCGGTGCGTGGTGTCGCGGTGCGTGGTGGCGTGGTGCGTGGTGTCGCGGTGCGTGGTGCGTGGTGGCGTGGTGCGTGGTGCGTGGTGCGTGGTGGCGTGGTGGCATGGTGTCGCGGTGCGTGGTGCGTGGTGGCGTGGTGCGTGGTGGCGTGGTGCGTGGTGGCGTGGTGGCGTGGTGGCGTGGTGCATGGTGGCGTGGTGCGTGGTGGCGTGCGCACCTCCTGGGTGAGGCCGCTGTGTGCGTGCTGCACGTGCCACGTGATGGTGGCGCGGAGCGAGCGGGGCACACACTCCAGGAAGGTGCTGTTCCTCTCCACGCCAAACACCACACGCTCCTCCTCCTGCTCCTCCTGCTGCTGCTGCTCATCCTGCACGGCCAGCGCTCCCGCAACGCCCACCCCCTGTTCCGCTGAGAACCACCCAGCACCACCACCACTGTTAGCACCACCACCACCACCACCACCGCCACCACCACCACCACCGTCAGCAGCACCACCACCACCACCGTCAGCGCCACCACCACCACCACCTTCACCAGCACCGTCAGCACCACCACCACCATCTTCACCAGCACCTCCACCAGCACCGCCAACACCAAGACCATCACCAGTACCTCCATAACCATCAGCACCACACCAGCCCCACGACCACTACCACCTGCACCACCACCAACATCACCACGACTACCACCTGCACCACCACCATCACCACCACCAGTATCACCCACAACAACCACCACCACCGTTCCTGACGGCCGATTCCGTGAGTCGCGAGAGTTCGGCTGCCCGTGGGAGAAGCCGGGAGAGGCCGGAGTCGAGGGGGCCGGCACTCAGAGCCGGCTGCCACCTCCTGGCCACCCCACAGCGCAGCCCCGCGCCTACAGCACCTGGCAAGCCCCGGCGCTGGTGGTGGCGGTGTTGGTGGCATAGCGGTTAGCGCGCTGCGGCTAACACCGGTGACGATTATTTGAACCGGTCCTGGGCCTCTTCCCCTAGGTCGACTCAGCCTCAAATGAGCACCTGGTGCGGTGTGTGGTAAACATCGCCGCTGGGGAGACAAAGGCGGCCGGGCGTGGTGCTGGCCACCCACCCCCTCGTGTGCCACGGTGCTGGCCTTCATAGGTGCAGCTCGCTAACAGCACTTGCCCCGACACTATGTCCGGAGCTACACGGGGGACCTTTGTCTTGTTTTGGTAGTCACCCATCCGATGCCCAGAGCAGTCTCAGCCCCTGCTCAGCCTACGATACCCGGCCCTCCCCTCCCCCCCTCTCGTCCCCTCCCTCCCTGCAAACCTCAGGCAGCTCCATTCTCACATTCCTCCTCAGTGCTCGTCATTACCGCCTGGGCGGGCCTGCGTGCACGTGCGTCTGTGTGTGGGTGTGTCTATGTGTGTGGGTGTGTCTATGTGTGTGGGTGTGTCTATGTGTGTGGGTGTGTCTATGTGTGGGTGTGTCTATCTGTGTGGGTGTGTCTATGTGTGGGTGTGTCTATGGCGTCTGTGACCACCACAGCGGCTAAATGGGGGCTCTGGACGGATGCGAGAGGCTGGTTACCCCTCCACCTTCAATTAACTACCACTAAACTACGACCGAAAATTTTAATTAACAAGCTTGTGCCGGAGGCCCCGGGGGGACAGGCGTCTATGACGTCTCCTGGCCAAACCACATTTGTCGGAGCCAGGAGATTTAATCTCTACCCTCGGGGCTCCTCCAGAAACAACAAAAAGCCACTACGGATGGCCATGTGGAATGTTCGGACGCTCACTGCGGAGGAGAGACTCCCACTCCTCTGTCGGGAGCTGGACCGGTACCGCCTGGATCTCTGTGGCATTCAGGAGGACCGGTGGACCGGCTCTGGCTCCTGCCACCATGAGGAGCGGACAGTCCTCTACTCGGGGCAGGAGACTGCCAAACAACAGGGTGTGGTTCTCCCTCTGAACAAAAGAATGAAGGGGGCGTGGGAGCGTGGCGGTGAGGTGTGGGAAGCTGTAAGCCCTAGGCTACTTTGGGCTCGCCTTCCCATCAACCAAAGGCGAGGAGTGGTGGTCGTGGTTACTTATGCCCCCACCGAAGACGAACATCCGTGGAGGGATGCAGGCAAGGCCGATGAGTCGGATGCCTTCTATGACCTCCTGTCACAGGTGCTAGCTAAAGTGGCCCCTCGGATAGAGTCATCTTGTTGGGTGACTTTAATGCCCGAGTTGGTCATGATGCTGGCGCCTGGCCTGGAGTGATTGGAAGGCATGGGACAGATCAGATGAATAACAACGGTAGGAAGCTGCTAGATTTTTGTGCAGTCCATGGGCGTGTAATTACCAACATGCTGTTCCGGCATCGGCGCATCCATATAACATTATGGATGCATGCCGGGTCCAAGCAAGAACATCTGCTGGAGTACGTAGTGACGGACCAGCGGATGCGGGCCCATGTCCTTGACACCAGGACCTACCGTGGAGCTGATCTACCCTCTGACCATCGACTAGTCATCTGTAAGATGCGTCTGCCATTCTTCCACTCCGGTGGTGGGTGTATACCCAGGACCCCATTCGAACCTAAGGTGGCCTGATGAAAGTTGTAAGCGAGAATTTCATCATCGCTTGTGGCTGGGGTTGGCATCGTTCCCCACTCCTCCAGATGTCGAGGGTAAATGGGTGAGGTTTAGGACTGTGACTCAGGCAGCTTCAATGGCTGCTTTGGGTACACGGTCCAGACCTCCCCAGATAACCTGGCTGACAGAGGAGGTGTTCAAATGGCTGAGAAAAAGCGACAGGCCCACTCTCATTGGCTACAGCATCCCACGTTGGAGAATGAGAAAGCTTACCGCAGCCTTCGCTCGGAGGTTCGGATAGCCGTGAGGCGCTGCAAGGATGGGTGGTGGTCGCGGGTTGCTGAGGAGATGTAATCTGTCTCAATGGCCCGCGATCACACATCCCTATTTAATTCCATCAAAAAAGTAACATGCAGCGCCACACCTATTACCATCATGAGGGGAAAAAACGGTGATCAAATTTCCGACCCCCAGGGACAGGTTTGCAGATTTGCTGAGCATTTCTGTGAAGTCTTGGAGGAGGGGAAATCTCTCCACATGGAAAACATCGTGGGACAAAGTGGGGATGACCCTGCTAAGGCTGCGGTGCCTCAAATATTGGAAGAGGAAGTCACCCCCTGTGAGTGGCTAAATAAGGTGCCATCTGTTACGGAAGTACTGAAGGCGATCCAGAGTCTGAGACCAGGAAAGGCAGCGGGCAGAGATGATCTCCCAAGCGAAATGCTGAGGGAGGGTGGCGTTTGTGCACAGACTGCCCTATATAACATCATAACAACAGTCTGGACCACTGGACGGGTTCCGCAGGATTGGAAGGATGCCCTGGTGGTCCCCCTCTCTAAGAAGGGGGACCGCACAGACTGTAACAACTACAGGGGCATCTCACTCCTCAGTGTGCCGGGAAAGGTCCTGGCAAGGATTATTCAACATCGCCTTGCCAGGCACGCTGAGGAGAGGCTTGCGGAGCCCCAATGTGGTTTCAGGAAAGGGCGGTCCTGCATAGATGCCATATTTTCTATCCGTCTGCTACAGCAGAGGTGTAGGGAATTCCAGCAAGACCTACATCTCTGCTTTATTGACCTGGTCAAGGCCTATGATACCATCAGTAGGCCTGGGCTCTGGGTTGTTCTTCGTGCTTTTGGAGTACCTGAACCTCTGCTCACGATCATTAAGGACCTTCATGATGGTGAGCGGGCCCGGGTAAAACTACGTGGCCGGGAGTCAGAGCCATTCCCTGTACACCTTGGGGTGCGACAGGGATGTCCTCTGGCTCCCACATTATTTAACATCTATTTTGACCACGTAGTTCGTGAAGCCTTCAATAGCTGTACCGGGGGAATCTCCATATGGTACAGATGTAATGGGAGGCTGATCGATGCCCGGGTGCAGTCAAGGGATGGCTCCCTATTGCTCAACCACGTTATGTATGCCGATGATTTGGTAATAGCTGCTCATTCAGAGGAGGAGTTGGAGACGCTGCTGCTGAGACTGGAGCGTGCCACTAAGAGATGGGGCCTTACCATCAGCCCCACCAAAACTAAGCACCTGCCTGGGTATTTTGTACCATCGGACACTCACCCCCACAACTCCCAATCGGTGATGGGGTAGTTGTGGAGAGAGTGGAGAGTTTCCCATACCTGGGCAGTGTGCTTATGACCGGCTCCAGTTTAACAGCAGAGATCTCACTCCGAATCAGTCGAGCGGCAATATCTTTTCATCAGTTGCGTAACGCTGTGTGGAAGCTACCTGGTCTGTCGCTCCGCACTAAGCTTCAGGTCTTCTCGGCCATGGTCATTCCCTCCCTTCTCTACGCTTGCGAAACGTGGACCCCCCTAATGGAACATCTTCGCCGGTTAGAAACATTTAGGCTAGCCTGCCTACGATCCATCTTGGGTTTAACCAGGCTGGATTGTGTGAGGAGCTCACAAATCCTTGAAAGATCTGGGCAAGGTCCCATTGGTGAGCTCCTCCGGCAGGCAAGGCTGCGTTGGCTGGGTCATGTAGCCCGCATGCCCAGCCACCGCATGCCGAAACAGCTTTTGTTCGGCCGGATCGAGGGGGCTAAATGGGCGCGGCACGGGCTAGAGAAGAGATGGAGTGATGTGGTACAGGAGGACGTGTAGGTGAGTGGACTTGCCGATGACTGGTACCAGCGGTGTCAAGATCGGGCTCTGTGGAGGAGGCTCGTGAAGGACGCTATTGGGCAGTTGGAGTTAGTCGCCCTCCAACAACAACGTAGGGCAGAGGAGCGACACTCACAACAACGAGCGGAGCGCCGGGTGGCTAAAGCGCAGCAGGTTGGCACAGTAGGGGGCACAGGTGGTGCATCAGCCAGTCATCTCAGTCAGTCGACCCGTGGCACCTGGGTCTGCCCCGTGACCTGCCAGCGGGCGTTCGACTCTTCACGTGGCCTCAGGGTGCACATAGCCTGGCACAAGCGTCGTGGTGACGTCACCGCCACTTAGTGGCGAATGGCGGTTGTTGTTGTGTCTATGTGTGTCTATGTGTGCGTCTGTCTATGTGTGTCTATGTGCGCGTGTGTCTATGTGCGCGTGTGCCTATGTGTGGGTGTCTATGTGTGGGTGTGTCTATGTGTGCGTGTGTCTATGTGGGTGCGTCTATGTGCGCGTGTGTCTATGTGTGGGTGTCTATGTGCGCGTGTGTCTATTGGAGGTGTCTATGTGCGCGTGTGTCTATGTGTGGGTGTCTATGTGCGCTTGTGTCTATGTGGGTGTGTCTATGTGCGCGTGTGTCTATGTGGGTGTGTCTATGTGCGCGTGTGTCTATGTGGGTGTGTCTATGTGCGCGTGTGTCTATGTGGGTGTGTCTATGTGCGTGTGTGTCAATGTGCGCGTGTGTCTATGC